GACAGCCCCCAGACAGATCATAACACACACACTGAACAGTCTGCCTTCAATGTCTGCCTTGCTTACTCCAGAGCCAGAGATCAGGCTCCCTGTCTGAGAATATATACTGTGGTCCACCTCTGCTGCAATAGCTGCCATGGAGCGGGAGCGGGAGAGGGAGAGGCAAAGACAGTATCATTTAAAAGTTGCCTTTTTATTGTTTTAATGTGTGGTTAGTTGCTACAGCCCTCAGCTTCCTTTCCAGAGTTCTTACAGAGTTGAGTTTGCAGATTTCTGGTTGCTTTCCTTGGTTATCGTGGTGAGAGGTGGGAGCGGATCAGGACTGTGGACCTGATGACACCACTGTTTCCTGGAAGCCAAACCTTTAATTGGGGTTCTTGTCTTTTTTGCTCTTTAATTGAGTTGTAAAAGTTGTTTGTATATTCTAGGTACAAGTCACTCATCAGATATGTGACTTGCAAGTATTTTCTCTGTGAAACCTATTCTTCCCCCCAGTATTTTTTTAGCTTTATTACTTCCTGTTTTTGTATGTATTCTACACGCTAGTTAAATAGGACTTTACTTTTCCCCAGAGATGCTGTGTTTTTTTCCTCCTGAAAACAGAATAGATATTCAGAAAAATATTCATTCAGCAAATGTTCCTTAAGCCCTTACTATGTGCCAGGCACTTCTAGCATTTGGAATACATTAGTGAACTGAAGAGCCTAATCCCTACCCTCTTGAAGTTAGCATTCTAGTGGATGAATGTTTACTTCCTTTTTTTGATTCTCAGGATGGTATTAAACTTAGGACATGGTTCATGTTCTCCCTGGAGTTTAGATGTTAACACATGTTAACCTTTCTAGACTGTGCCTGGCAATGGTGGGCACTCAATAGCTGTGTGCTGAATGGATAAATTACTGAGCTCAGCAGCCCTGTCTTATCACTGGGTTCTCTGGAGTAGGCACTTAATAAGTGTTGTTGGTTTACTGACTGAGGATAGTTGTAATCCCTCAAGAGTCTGTGTCAACACAGTTCTGAGGCTGTCAAAATATTTTCGTATGGAGAGGAGCTGGGCTTCTGGGGTGAGTAGGGAGAACAGAGCAGTGGTATCCACACATTTTGGCTTTAAAAAATATTGCGGACTCCTCACACTCACACATACAGACATGCACTCACACACTCATACATACACATACATATACACATATGCACTCATATATACACACACATGTACACACATACACACACACACTCGTACACATGCCCTTATACATACACACACTCATACACATGTAAACACATACACACTCATGTACACATACACATATGTACTCACACATACATACTTTCATGTACACACATGCTCACACACGCATGTGCACACACTCATACACACATGTACACACATGCATACTTACATATACATAGGCATGCACTCAAATACAGACCACAAACCCATTGCCATCCGACTCATAGAGGGTCAGCGAAAAAGAGGAAGACCCTCAATGAGGTAGACTGACACAGTGGCTACAACAGTGGGCTCAAGCATAATGATAGTGAGGATGGCATAGGACTGGGCAGTGTTTCGTTCTGTTGTACATAGGGTCGCTATGAGTCAGACTCAATGGCACCTAACAACAACAACATATACAAACACATATACACACACTCATGTACACATGCACTCATACACGTACTCATGTACACACTCATGTACCCACATACACATTCACACACAAACGTGTGTACACATATATATACACACACACTCATCAACACACTTGTGCACACACATACAATCATGTACACATATACACTCACACATACGTACACACATGGACACTCACATACACATACACTCATGTACACACATACACACTCATACATACACATATATACAAACATGTACATGCACATTCAAGTACACACTTATGCACATGTACACACAGTTTCAGTCATCTAGTACTCCTCTAACAGAAATACCACAAGTAGATGGCTTTAACAAAGAGAAAGTTTATTCTCTCACAGTCTAGTAGGCTGAAAGTCCAAATTCAGGGTGTCAGCTCCAGGGGAAGGCTTTCTCTTCTCTGTTGGCTCGTGTGGAAGGTCCTTGTCAATCTTCCCCTGGACTAGGAGCTTCTCTGCACAGGAACCTCAGGTCCAAAGGATGCGCTCTGCTCCCGGCACTGCTTTCTTGGTGGTATGAGGTCCCCAATTCTCTGCTTGCTTCCCTTTCCTTTTATTAAGATAAAAGGTGGTGTAGGCCACCCCCCAGGGAAACTCCCTTTACATTGTGTCAGGGATGTGACCTGGGTAAGGGTGTTACAATCCTACCCTAATTCTCTTTAACATAAAATTACAATCACAAAATGGAGGCCATCCATACAATTCTGGGAATCCTGGCCCAGCCAAATTGATACACAATTTTTTTGGGGGACATAATTCAAACATGACACACACACTTATGTGCACAACCACACGTGTATACATACACACTTATATGCACACATACACACTCATGCACACATACATGCACATGTATCTATATAATACATATTTTAACAAGTTATGTGCTTGTGCTACTGTATTGTATTATATACAGTGTAATAATGCCATGAGAATGTAAATTAAAAAAGAAGAGAGAAAAAATATAAACAGAGTTTCTAATATTTTCTCCCTGAAATCCTGTGGACTGTTTTGACACGAGGCTACACGCTCCTCACTTCGAGAGCACTACTTTATAGCACATAATATTTAATTTTTATGTGGCTTTTTTGTGTGTCCTTTGGAGGTTCCCAAGTAAACTATAAGGCCTTAGTTTATTTTCTTTCTTTAGCTTTAAGGTTAATTAAAGATAGCTACGTTTTAAACCCCAAAATGCTGAGTAATTTCACAGATGAAAATAATCTGGTCATTAATTTGTGTGTTAGAATGTAAATCAGAATCTTAGCCCATTGCGTGAAGAATTACTTTAATAAGTAAGTCATAAAAAGTAATATAAGCATATTGTAGACAATTTGGAAAATAGAGGAAAGAAATCTCAACTTTGTTGTACTTATTTATGGTGAAGTTAATTGGAATAAGACTTTTTCCCCTTTGGGATATCTTAACTTTATTTTTTTTAACTGAAAACATTTTTTTTTTCGTAATCTCCTTGTACTAAAAACCAATCTGCCTTATCCATCTAAGATACTGCACTGGTCTCATTCCTTTGGGAGCAAGGGAGAATGAAGAGAACAGGATACAAGGAAAAGATTAGTCCGAAGGACTAATGGACCATAGCTAGCAAGGCCTCCACCGGACTGAGTCCAGTACAGCTACATGGTGCCCGGCTACCACCACTGACTGCTCTGACCAGGATCACAACAGAGGGTTCTGGACAGAGCTGGAGAAGGATGTAGAACAAAATTCTAACTCAC